ATTGTTAGCCTTTTTTTTCTGAATAGCCTTAACAGTTAAGGTACTTTTTTTTTTTCGTACAGTGGCATTATTTCTAAGATAAACTCCAGTTGGGGGTCTACTTTTGTGATAATAAGAAAAGAGCAAGTGGAAGTGTAAATTGGGCCAGCTTGTACAAATGTGTACGCAATTGGCATGCTTTGGAAGGAACTAGCCTAGGCATATGGATAAGGGGTGTAGGGATATGCATCAGCGATGGGCAGTATTACTGAAGTGGCGCGCCACACCAACTTGTTTGCATGCAAAGATACACTAACCGACTGATGCCACGTGGTAGCGCTCCTATCCAGATGGGTCTCTTCCCTAAGGGACTAATTCGCCCATGTAGAAAAGCATTTCGGTGATAATTCGAGAGAATAAGCTGGGGAACACAATCGTCTCCCCAGAGCAAAAGGGCATGCCACCAAACCCCAAAAAAAAAAAAAAAAAAAAACGCATCGCTACATCCCGTTTCGTTGTCCCAAATGAGCGGTTGTTTTTTTCCCCCCCCCATCACTTGATGTGAGTAGTTCACCAAGATGGGAAAGAAAAAAAAAAGTCCACTTTTCACAAGGTCAACATGTTGGAATGCCCCTTTTTCGACGTTGCAGTGGGTGATCGGCGAACGGGCTGCCACCAATGGGGTACCCCTTTTGTGTCAATTTGTGCGCCCCTTAAAAGGGGTCAACTCGCGGGGGAGAAAGGCGCATATGTGTACATGTCCACACAGTTGCCTTCAAAATAGGTCAACGAGGATCCAAAGAGCGATGTTATGCTATGCGATGTGATTCGATGCGTACTCACCAGTGGGAAATCCACCCAGAGGAGGCACATAACAAAGGAGCGCCGACGGAAGCCTGCATAGAGGAAGTAACTGCTATATAGCCTCACTGCGTCGAATGAATTGCCTCCCCCCCCAGGAGGGAATACTCCTCCATCGAGCGTTCCCCACGTGGAGCTTCCCGCCCCACATCTAGTGCTGTTTCTCCCCCGCGTGGCGCGCAGACTCCTCCGTGAGGACGTTGATATTCCCCCGAATGCACATGTCTGGGAATATGAGTGTGTCCGGCCTCTCCGCGTGGCCCGAGTTCCTTTCAATTTCTTCCCTCACCAAACAGTGCTTAAGCCAGGCATTCATAAAATCGGCTGGAGGCAACACTGTTTGGAGATAATAGAGGAAATTTTCATTCCATGCAATTTCGCAAAACTGTCGTTTCAATTCATATTCCTCACTCAACACTGCACACATCTTCTGGTCAGTAATTACATGTAGCTGTCTAATCACATCTTCTAAGATGGTGTAGACATGTTTTTCCGCATCCTTTATATTTGACCTGACTTGTTCATATAATTTATCGACTTTTTTCAACATGTCATTTAATTTTTTTTTCTCCCCTTTGACAACATTTGAAGGAACGGCACTGTGTTTTATCATGGCTTTATAAGCTAAATTTAGCGAAATGATTGCATCGTTTTTTTTACCCAACCAGGGGCAATTAACCCCACATAAATCCGTGTGTTCATGGCTCGGAACGCATTTATTGCATATGGGCAAGTGACAAATTGTGCAAAACATGCTGACACGTTCCTGCATATGTATTTTGCATTTACCTGATACAGTCTGTGCTTCGTTTAGTGTCTTCCGGATGTGTTTCTTTACAAGTTTGTTCTGGGTGTGAATCATATCATCACACTTTGGACACAGCTTGACTTCATCCGATTCACAATAAAATACAGATGGTGCGTTTCCACAGTAGTCACATAAGGGCAGGCTGAAATGTTCTTCTCCATTTGGGTCACATTCAAATTGTATTAAGTACCGAGGCAACAACTGGGAGTTATCAAAAATGATGTACTCATGATGGAAGGTATAGTGTGGGAGGACTCCGCATGCTGCCATGGTGTCTCCTCCCAAGGCTAAGTTTATCGTTTCGGTGTTTTCATCCCCTTGGTTAGCGTCCCCCCTGGATATGCCGCTCATACGGTTACCCTGCTGCTCATCCCTATCGCTATAATGGACCGTCAAGGAGTGATCCAATGCACTCACTTTCTTCTTGTCAATAAAGACGCTGTCATATTCTATTGGCACTGTGTCCCTGTTGTACATTTCTGCTTCCTTCTCGCTGACAGAGAGGGAGAGACCGACCCCCACGTCACATAGGAAGAATTCGAACACGCTTCTCTCCCCCGATAGCAACACCGTTTCGCTGTGCTTTAGGATGTTCCTCAGAGTTTTCTTCGCATTGTTCGTTGCGCCTGTCTCGCTCTCCAGCTTGGTTGGATTGACCATTGCAAGCCCTGCATCCAGCGACGTTAAGGGAAATCCCGGGATGCTGCGGGGGGGAAGGGGGTGCGGCAGGGGTTTCAGCGATGGGGGGCAACACAGGTGGGTCGCCACAACGCAGCATCATGACGCAGCAGCATTGCAGCGTAGCATCATTGCACCGCCGTATCACTGTACCGCCACGTCACCGCACCACCGCACATACTTGAAATTTCCCACGGAGAGGCGAAGCCCCCTGCGCGACACGGAAAATCCCCGCGTGCAGACGTCTTGGATGGAGTTATCCATGTCCAAAGACGAGACGTCAATAAAACTCTTCAAAACGAGTTTGTTCGAATTCCTTTTTTCAAACTTGTTTATCAGATGCAGAGGAGACACATGCCATGCCTGCACCAGTCGAACCCTGGACGTCCGCACATTCATTTGTAGCAGATACTCCAGCGTTAGCCATTCCTCTGAGTCTCGAAAGATTTGCGTCAGGTTGTTGTCCGAAAAGCTTATGTCTATTCCTAGCGGGTTTGACGTCATTTTGGCGAGGGATACGTGGTTGCAAGGTGGGAAGAGGAGGTGGAGCTCTGTTCTCAGGGTGTCCAAATGGGAGAGGCGAGATGGAGGAGCGCTAAACGGAAGACACGAAATGTGAAGCACTAAATGGACGGCGCTCAATGCGAAGCGCTCAATATAACTCATATGAAAAAGGTTTAACTCCCCCCTTACGCGGCCTTCACCCCAAACGGCGAAAGATATTAACAATTGATGCGCTCTGTTCCTTTACGTGGAATGAGCTGCCCGAGGAAAAATAGCCTCCCTAGAGGTGGGGGGAAAAACCTTTTTACGTTTCGTGGCGCGCGAAATGCGTCTTCGCGTGTGCACACGAAGGTACCTCTAAAGGGTGGAAGGATGTCACCAATACGCTACTTATCGGGTTAGCAGTTCGGCTGCTTCACATTTTACCAATTAGCAACTTTGCAATTTTGCAGCTTATTGGGACTTTGCGACTTTGCCACCGCGGAGCTGGGATACAACACAAAAATGATCTGAAGCGGCGCGCATGCGAGATGGGCCGCGCGTGACCACTCGGAGTTGTGCGCGCAGACAGGCAAAGCGTCCATTCCGGTGTTACAATTTCTGTGTTACCATTTCGGTGTTGCCTTGTCCGCGCGGTCATCGCTAAAAAAAAAGAAAAAAAAAATAAGCCTAACAAGAGCAAACGCGATCCATTTTGTGCGTCCAAAAAGGGGAGAGCGATTCCGTCCATTCGCCTACCCACTGCGCAGTGAAAATGCGGAACTGACTTCACAAAAAAAAAAAATGCGGAAAAAAAAAATCCCTGAGACGATGCCTCTTCTCACCGGATGATCAGCTTTAGCCACAAACTAGCATAGAAGTCACAAAAAAAAAAAAAAAAAAAAAACAACCCTATATTTCCATACAGACCACTCAATTGGTTCCTCAATTGGTTACTGAAGTGGTCACCTTCAATGTCGCTTGGAACAAGCCAGTAGAGCTACATAAGGAGGAGAAGGAAAGAAGAAACAACACAACTCGTTAGCTCTCGGAACAGTACCTCCATGTGGAAGTGATTCCCTACCCCGTCCTGAACCCTCTCGACATGAATCACCCCAATAAAGGAAGCAAACATGACAAGGCATAGCAAAAATAACACCGCCAATCCTATATTCACCTACCATGAAAGGAAGAAAGTATCCGGTGAGGACTACCCCCAGCCCTGTAGTGCTCACTTGTGTGTTAATAGAAGTTTCGCTCCATGTCATACTATGTTATTTTTGATGAAAGAGGGGCCAGCTAGAGTTGGTCTTGGGTGGCCCCCCGTGGGAGTCATCAGGAGTGCGTTCATGTGTAGGCCACCCTCGGCCAACTGGTCATCCGCCAAAAGGTCATCTTCTAATGGTCTTCCTCCAACTCGTCTTCCGTCAACTCGTAATCCATCCACCCCCCGCTCACTTCACCCCCCGCTCACTTCACCCCCCGCTCACTTCACCCCCCGCGCACATCCCCCCCTAGATGTGGGTACCCTGAAGGAAAGACTCGGGAAAGACTCCATGCGAAGATTCGAGCAGTGCTGGATATGCCTGCGGAACGCGGAGATACCCGTGAGTACCCCTTATGGATACATATTCTGCAAAATGTGCATTGTCAATCATTTCTTGACTCAAAAGAAAACCTACGCAAAGAGGAAGAGAGATTACGACGAACACGTTAAAGATTTGAAGAGGAGGAAAGACGAAGAGGCTTCTTATCAGATCGAAAGGGAGAAAAAAAAGTTCATGCAAGAGTTGGAAAAAATTGATAATTCTGAACATGTGCAGGTGATTTTGCACTCCTGGGAGGAAGGGAAAAAAGAGGGGAAAGAAAGAGGAAAAAAGAGCAGAAAAAAAACATCCCACTCATGCAGCAGGAGTATACCTCCTCCATGTGACTATCATCTCAACGTCGTTCCAATGCAACTATGCAGCATTTCCGTTGCACACCCCTAACAACGTGCACATCCGCTTCTCCCCCCACGTAGAAGGAAGAACAAAAAAACCTACTGGATATATCAAACAACTTTTGGTTGGCAAGCAACGCAAAGGTGACGGACTTGAGTAAGAAAAAGGTCAGTCGTCCATCGAAGAATCTTTCCTGTCCTGTTACTGGGAAGGCGCTGAAAATGGGGGATCTAATTGCCATTAGCCCGGAGGTATCGCAGGGAGGCGACGTGGCCGGCGGGGAGTAAGTCCTTTTCGTTTGAGCTCTCTGTGACCAGGCCAAGTGCATGCCTATGTGTATGTCTGTACGTGCGGGTTTGAGAGAGCAAGACACAGATTGGGCGCCACGCAGGCACCCGATCCGAGTTGTCATCACAATGCGCCGCTTCATCAACGCAGGGAGAGCTGGGTTTGCTCCTACTCCAAGAAGAATATCGATCACCAGAGGGCCATCCTCATCAAAAAAACGGGACAGATAATTATAAAGGTGGGTGAGCGTGGCAACTTCGGAGGAAGGGGTTCGCCAGTTGTTCCGCCTTCATCACTTGGCTCCACCATCTTCATGCCTTCTTCTCCATTCCTCCTCCCTCATGCCTCCCCCCTTTTAGTCCATTTTTGAAAAATTCATTTACGGGAAGAACACCCTGGATGTTACCGTCGGGGATGGAGACTTCATCGATTTGCAGCCAGGTGGCACAGGTACACACAGAGTTGCCTCCGCCAGAGGGTTTGCTTCTTGCCTGCCACATTTGCAAAGTGCCGTTTGTATGCCAGCTCGTCTGTAGACGTAGAGACGATGCAAGGGCGATGCAGAGGCCACGCAGAACGGTGTAATGCGAAGTTGTTTATTTTGAAATGTTCTTTTTCCCATTTTCCCCCTTCCCTGCAGCCTTCTGCTCGCACAGCAATGTCGAGAAGACCATGTACCGGGACCCCCTTCTGTGATGCAAGTGTGTAGGGGGGAGAGTCTGCGCCTGGCCCACCAATCCGTTGGACACCCCTTTGACTGTGGCTAACCACGCGCGCGGCGTCATCACGGCGTTTACATTTTTTCTGTATTTCCATGTGTACATGCATAAGGTACATGTCTACATTCCCGTGTTGTATTTTTCTTTCTTTTTTTCCGTAACTCCTGCTTCTTTTTTTTTGGTGTAATATGACCCTCGAAGTAGCCACCCTGTGCGGGTCAATCATCAGCATGAATCAGGTGGAGAGCACCCATAAGGACAGCTTCTAGCCGGTGCCCGATGCAGCGCAGCAAGGGTAAACTTGGGTGTGAACGTTCCAAATGGAAAGCGGCTTGTGTACTGTCGTGTGCTTCGCTGCGTCGTTTCGTCTTTGCTCCGTAGAGGAAGTAGGAAAAAGCTCCATCGGGGTGAAACGGAGTCATCACCGCCAACTCGTTGCACGTCAATTGCCAATATAGACAAAGTTACCTCTTGGGGGCTTCTCCGGCGCGTCGGGCTTCTACAATGCACACCAGACCAGTGGTGCACGGCTCTATTTCGGCGACCCCTTTGCGTATTGCCCGTTCGCCTATTTCCCTTTCACAAATTGCCCGTGTTGCCATTCTTCCGGAGGACGTGGCACAGTTAAGTGACACCTCCTGCCCTTCTGCTCACAGATGGTTTTCCGCTTAACGACCTGATGGGCTACGGTGACTTTTGTTTTTTTTCCATAGTTGATGTCATCCCGCGGGGTGTTCATTTTCTTCGTTTTATCACCTTTCGACACGCCTGTATGTTCGATCCCCTGCGCGGGGGGGAAGCTGCCCAGGTGAATGACTCACCAAAAAATATTTAAAAAAAAAAAAAAAACTGGAACAGGCCTGATGAAGAAAACAAAGAAAGCAGATTCGACGTAAAACTACACTTGGCACATGCTGCAATGTACACAATTGAAAGGATGTCGAAAATCGAAAGAATTGATGTTAACACTACTCACCATTATCTGCTTTTTTGTCAAACTGTACTTCTTTAAGGAAACAAATCCCCGAAGCAGCAGTCATTACTACCTTGGTCTGTTCAGGCGAAATGGGAACCTTCCACTTTTACACCAGAATTGTGGAAAACCTTCCACCAAGAGGTATAATTTTGGAAGAGGTACACACAGATATGACCATGGCAGTGTCCACCAGAGTAACAAAAAGAAGGTCACCCTCTTTGTGACTCGGTTAACCCCAACCGGTGGTACCAAAGATGGAAAACAGAGGAGAAGCATCACTAAGGGATTCCCACGTCTCTCCCGTTTGAAGGTAAGCAGCGGGGAGGACCAAGGTGGTTCAACTGGAGCATCGACCCATGGCGTAGACGTAAACGGGGGAGCCGGCAACGGAGAAAGCGACAACCGGGAAAGCGGCAATGGGGAAGACGGCAATAGGAAGAGCGACCCTCCACCCGATGACCAATCACAAATCGTTGGCAACAGAAAAAAAAAAAAGGTAAACTTCAAATTTACCTCGTGGAATAACACCAACGAAATGAGCAGCTTTGACCTCGAGAAGTATAGCAAGCACAACGAATCAGTAAGTAGTGAAAATTTCTCTCCAGATTTTCAGTCCGCCTACTACTCCGCGAAAAGTACGTCGGAAAAACCCAGTGCCAGTCACTCCAATATAGTAATCAATCAGGAGTTAGTCAATGCCTTATCCGTTGAAGATCTCTTTGACGTCCTAGACAAGCACAGTGAAAGCGCCAAAACGGATGCGGAAAAGAGAAAAGTCTTTAACGAAGTCAACATCGTGACGGCTTATCACCGTATAGCCAAACATGTGAAAAATAAAAATTACCGCTGGAGGGGAGAAGGCAAGGGGAAACAAGAAGCGGCAGCGAGTAGCGACTTCGACCCGGTCACCTTCAGCCTCTTCGAGACGTATTCAACACTGGGGGGATGGCAGTCCAGCGGCGAGCTGCCAAGTGGGGAGCAGTCCAGCGGGGAGCAGCACAGCAGCGTATTGCCAACGGAGCACCCCTCAACGGAGCTTCCCCAAACGAACGAGCACGCACAGCGCGAAGAGGACCGCCCCCCCTGTAACAACCACGCAAATCTGCTCACCAGACGCACCTACCGCAGCGTATACACACTGATGAAGGAGACTCTACTCACCAACGCGCCCGTAATCCCAAAGCACGTGGCGAACATCGCATGGGCGTCAGCCATTCTGTCCAATCGAGAAGTGCACCTATGGAAGAATATAAAAAAAAGATTTTTCGAAAGTGCCAACAATTTCAAGGCACAGGAAATCTCCATCATCCTCTGGTCCTTCAGTGCAATCAAATTCGAGCTGATCACCACGAAGGAGGAGTTTATCTCTGTGCAGAAGTGCTTGTCCAGATATTTGAAGGAGCACAAATTTAAGGCCCAAGAGTTTAGCAACGTCATTTGGGCCATCGCAACATCCAGCTGTTGTAACTACGACCTGTTAATAAGCCTCTACAATTATGCCCTAGACATATTTGATTCTCTTCTTCTGAAAGATATAGCCACGGTTTTGTATAGTCTCTCTATTTTTGCAGCCGATTCTGCTAATAAGGACATTCTCCATGTCATCAGGGAGAACCACCTCACGAAGTTTGGCCTAGAGGAAGACTACCTAACGATTAGTAAACTTAACGAAGATCTCACAAATGAATCGAAAAACACATTCGGAAAAAACTTCACCTATTTTGAACTAAGCAGTGGGGACCCAAATTCGGATATCACCACTGACAGTTTAGTGACGGAGAAGAACACAGCTAGCGATAAAAAATATGCGGCTTTTCTCCTGTTTGAAAAATTTCTGCTATACTCTCTGGAGAGGATTGCAAAGGAGAAGGACAAAATGACTATGCGGACATGGTCCAGCATTTTCTGGCCCTGCGCGAATGTCGGCTTGGGTCTCTACAGGGACGTGCCCGCGCAGCATGGGTTGCGCTACTACGGGTGTGCTGGCCAGGGGAATAGTGTCCATGAAAGTAGTCAGCAGGGAAGCAGTCTGCAGGGAAACGGTGGCAACGTCACGCCCGAGGAAGCCGCTCCGCCCGCCAACTGCAAGCCGTATGTACACATCATCAACGGGGAGTATGTCTTCCCCCTCATGGAAGAGAAGCCACACCGGGAGGTATCTACCGCGCTGAACCAGAAAGAAATGGCGGACCTTGGAATAGATGTCCCTCTAGACATATACAATAGGAAGGAGAACAAAGTGGGTCATTCCTCCACATATAAGACTCACGTGAAGACATGGGATGGTAATCATTTAGAGGGGACAAACGGGAAAGAAGTAGGAAGAAGGGACACGGTGGAGGTCAACCGATTAGAGGAAACGCACAATGGGGAGAAGTCCACTGATCCGAATAGCAATCTCCCTAAGGGCGATCCAAACGAAACACAACATGTAGACTTACTAAGCAGCCAAATGAACAGACCGGCTTGGAATTCCTCCCCTGGAGGTAGCAAAGGAAGCAGCGTAGGAAAGAACACCACAGAAGAGGAATCACACCGACAGGGGAGTAACCACAAAGGGGGACAAATAGACGAGGACAAATATGGCAACTTTATGAATCACCTAAGTGAAGAAAAAGAAGACGAAAGTCTATATAACGACACAAACAGGAGCATGGCGATGATGAAGTTGCTAAGCCTCTTCCAGTCCCAGTTGAAAGAGAAGAGTATAAAATGGACTAAGTGTGAAGTTCAATCGATTGCCAACATCCTGTGGAGTCTTTCCATCTTGAATCTCTTCCCCAGCAGCATTTTTGAAAATGCCCTACACGAATGTAATAAGAGATTTATAAAATATGGGAAAAAAAAAAATTCAAGCAAATTGCAATTTTTCATCTCACAAATCCACCAGTCGCAGTTGTATCAGGCCGCTTTTGCTTACTGCTTATTTTTAATGAGGAAAAATTCAAAGGGAGGTAAACAAATGGACAAAAGATATGAACAGACGGTACCTGCAAATGATCATATCGATAATACTGCGTCGCTGAAGAGAAAGATACAAGCTACATTTGACAAACATTTTAAAGTCTCCCTGAACACGTTAAATATATGGAAAAAACAACTAGCTAGAAATCAACGAAGAGAAGAGAAAAATCAAATTTCTTCATCTGTACATAGGAAAATTTCGAACGATTTGAGGCACCTTAGTATTTTTCATCACAACGAGTATTTCATTTTGGACTCCCTCCTCGTGGATGTTTACTTGCCGCGCTCGAAGGTACCCTGGATATGTTGCGAAGGAGCCACGTGGCGGGGCAGTATCACACCGTTGTGATGTCCCATCTATGAGGCAACACCGACGGAACACCAGCGCAACACCAACGACATACCCCTTTTTCCCCCCCCCTCTTCAGGTCGTCATAGAAATAGACGGACCCAGTCATTTCCTCCAAAAGGGGAAACTCATTCTGTACAACCCCAATTCGCTGTTCAAGAAGAGACTGCTCAGGGCGCTTGGCTTCTCTGTCATTTCCATTTCCATTAGCCACCACACCTTCATGTTCAGCGCCCTGAATACGTTCAATTTTGTGAAGAAGTTCCTGAGCAGCGTGAACTTTGGCAGAGTAGCTTAGCCGCAGCGCTGCACAAAGCGGATGTCTCCCAATTTTTTTGTTCTCCCTTTCAAAGTTCGGCGCATTTGCCGTGTGGCGAGTTTAGCGGCCGTTTGGAGGCCCCCTTTTACCGCACTGCTTATGCAGCTCTTTACCCACCTCTTTTACTTACCTGCATGCATTCCTGTCACCCAACTTGCGGCTTTCGCTCGTGTGTTCCTCCCCACCCCAAAGGCGTCTGCACACACGTGGGGAAAGGGCCATGCAACGGATGTCTAACCGCTGGAGCAAAACAAAATGTTGCAATGTTTTTGAAAAAGTTGCCTTACCTGTTCATATTTTTTTTTTTTTTTTTTTTTTTGCACACACAACTGCCTTTTGGCTAGCTAATCCAAATTTCTGAAAGGTTCATTTGATTTGTCATATTTACAAAAAGGGGAAGAGATAAAGTTGGAATGAAAAAAAAATTACAAACATGATAGTGGGATGAGTCCTTATTTATATCCATCAGGCAACTGACCAGCGGTGGGTCTACATTTGATAATGTCTGCGCCGTGATAGGGACGCGTCATTCCTTTTCGCGGCTTGGGAAATCGATTTACACACGTGTGGACACTCAAGAGGGTACGCCCCCTTTCCCTAACCCACGCGTGAGCCGCACAAGAGGAAAACTGCACGTTCCGTTCGAATAAAATATGCAAAGTGAGGCTGCGGTGTGAGGGGAGGAAATGCCAAAAATCGCGCACAGACGCAACAAAAATAAGAAATAGCTACTGAAATTTTTCGGACGTTTCAATAACTTAAAAGGGCTGTGTGAACCTTGTGCAAGGTGAATGGGTAAGGTGTGAAACGCTCCCCGTCCAAGTTAACACTGCCTGTATAGGCAGCCTCAGTCCTTCCTTATGGATGACATGTAGCGGAACAACAACTTGGGCACCTCCAGCATGTCCACTTCATCCTTCTCAAGCACATTCTTCAACTTCTCATCGGGGATGATTTTCCTCTTGGTGTTTGGATTTTGCAAATTATTTTCCTTAATGTATTTCCACGCATATTTCAGAACAAAAACTCTGGACGCAGTGTCTGTGTTTAAAAACTCCTTCAAGGGACTCTTAATTTCGCAGTCAATTTGTAATCCATTTGGTTTCTTTTCCTTGACGTCTGTGTGTTTTCCTTTTGTTCCACTGTGCTCTTCATCGTTTGTACTGAAGTGATTTTTTGCGTAAAATTTGGTGAATTCCCTTGGTTGGAATTTTATCCCTCGAGGGGTGCACAGTCTGCCGTTTAGTATATTCCTTCTGAGGGAGTCCATTTTGTTCGCTTTGTGGTGGTTAAGAGGTGAACTTAATAAATGCGTGTTGGCAGCAGAGCAGTAAAGCGGGAGAGCAGCCAAACAGTACAGCTATGGTTAAGCTGCGTAAAAATGTACAGGCCTGGAAAATATATGTGCGCCTTTGTCCCTCGTTCAGTTTCTTTTACACTTTGGCTGATGGTGAGCACATTAACGGGTAAGTGCGCCCTGGTTTTATGCCAGCAAGTGGAACATATCGTGTCAACACGGGGGGGTGTGCATGCGGGGAGTGGTGTGAGCTCCTTCGCGCGTAGCCCTTATGGCTCCATTTTGCAGCTTTTACGCTGATTGGGCTAATTGCGCTAATGGCGGCTTGTGTGCCTTTTATTTTGCTGTCCCGTTTAGCGCTTTTTTTTTTTTTTTTTTGCCCCTTTTAGCACTTTTTTTTTTTTTAATCTCTTTACCACTCCCCCCCTGTTTGGTGTTCCCTACCGAGTGCCCCTTCATCGGGGCGGTGGATGTCCAGGGGTCTAGGCGTCCAAATGCGTCCGGATGACCGGACGTACACATGTGCGACGCGTTTCCGTACGGAATACGCGCGCAATCAGCGCATGCCTAATACCTACGAGGGGGAGTATTCGGAGGACGGGAAAACAAAGGTGGCATGCGCCCTTTTCACCCCACTTTGTTCTTTTTTTTCCATTTTGTTACTCCCCTTTCGGTAATCGTGAAGAATGTTTTTGCCTCCCGCCGCATGAGCATTAACATGGGCGCCCTTTTAATGGGTTATATGACGGGGGAAAATTAAAATGGAGCATTTGTTCCACATGGAATTTTTTTTTTTCACTTCGTTACGCTTTTGCTTTGTTCTCCCTCCGCGTGCACGTTGCACAGTTAAAATTTTGTGGTCAGAAAAAACGGAAAAATACGGAAAACGCAGCTATATGGAACATGGGCACAATGGTAGGGGAAGTGACGTAGTTGTGTTTGTTCCCTCACTTTTTTGACAAGCTTGCGTAGAGAAGGGGCATCGCACTTCGCGGGGGGCAAAACCCACATGGATGAGGCCAAATGGATGAAGCGAAATGGATGAGGCCACATGGATGGAGCCACTTCGACGAAGCCACATGAGCTGCTAACCGCTCACCTAGTCCTGCTTCAGCTCCAGCGTGGTGGTGTTGACGCCCATCTGGTCGATAATATAAATCTCTGTTGTGTCTCCAGTGTATATGTCCCTCTCTGTCGCTGACGTAATGGCGTCTTTAACAAAATCGATGTCGTCTCTCAAATTGAAGTCTAAATTCTTGATTAGCTGGTTCTTCTGTTCCATTCGGTTGTCTAATATTGGAAGGATCAGTGCCGCTCCGCTTCCAACACAGGAGTGCGTTGCTTCGCAGTACGATCCGATGGCATCGTAATTGTATAGGACTCCCCTGTTGTCGTCACTCACTCCCGCCAACAGGTTAAACGCGTAGTAGGGGAAAAATCTTCTGCTGTATAGTATCACGCAAAGCAGCCTCGCTATGACGTGAATGTCCGGGTAGTGCCCGTGCTCCAGCACGAAGAGCTCAATTTTTTTCTACACAAGGGGGAGAGTGGCGGTGAAGGTGGGTAAGCTTGGCGCAAGGGGGGAGGAGGAAGTTGATCGGCCACCCACATAGTTACGCCTTCCACTTGATGAAGCTTCACAGTTGACCTCTCTGTTAGCTTTTCGCGTAGCTCCCTCTTCTTACCTTCAACAACGAGTGCAGCGTCCTGATGTCGGATTGCATCCCAGAGGAGCCGATAATGCACTTATCCGTTCTGCGGATAGGAGGAGGAGCAGTAGGTTATTATGGGTGGCCTGCACACTACTCGTTCGGCGAAGAGGCTTCTCTCCCGATAGCCCATTCACCCAAGCAACGGCAGACGAGAAAACCATGCTGCTTACAGTTTTGATATTTTGGGACAGTGTCTCGTGTAAATTGAGTAGGACAGGGACAGTCTGGTGTCTGCAGCCAATATGACGTAATCCTTGCCGGTCACTCCGATAACGGTTCTGTTAGAAAGGAAGTATTAAAAAAAAAGAAAAAAAAAAGAAAGCCAACATTCATGTGTAACGTTTTTCATATGAGTATGATTCACCTCCTTTGTGAGGATGAAGTGACGCCAACACCCATCGTGCTGGGAAAACCCGTCGGTTAATTCGTCCCCTAAGGTTTGCTACTCATTTGACGAAAGAGAGCCCACTGTGTTATGCCTCCTTGGCGTCATCCCTGTGGATCTATTTTTTTCTTTCTTCATCACTGTGCCGTGTGGGTATCATTCCCCAATCGCTTTTCTCTCTCCCTCCATGACCGATTTTCTCCGACTGGGTTATATCCCCTCTGCTTTGGCATACCCTCCATTGTCGACGTAAGGGTTCCACCGCTTAAACCCGCGGCCATGTTCCACTGCGGCTTCCCTCTCCTCTGGCTTCTTCTCTTCTGAGTAGTCACTCAGTGACAGGATTTCCATCTTATCGGGTGGGAGTGCTCGGAAGAGAAGAAAGGGTTATCTGCTTGCAGCTGACTCGTTGGCACTTCTCGCGCAAATGCGAATGGGCGAAATGGTGAGCGGCCGCAATGGGATTTTCGTTCACCACGCGGAGATAGCTCTTCTGTGGTTCGTCTTTTGTCGTTCCTCCTTTGTGATTCTTCCTAAGTGAGCCTTCTTTTCGCAGTGGCAGGAACTGCTTCGAAGCTATTCGCACCTAGGATGGTAATTTTTTTTTTTTTTAACCCCAAATGGAGATACCCCCACTGCGCAGAGTTTTGCAATGCCCAGTTGTACACATATGACGCGCGCGCAGTGGGGATGACCGCGTTTGCACGCTAACGGTGCCTTCCCACGTTGGTTGAAATTCGCTTTCATTAATACGGCACTTTTGTTCTGTTTCCTTCCGCGAAGCTAATCTAAGTGGCGTCAGAGTGAAGGAGCCATCAGTGCGAACAGTACTTCTCCTCGCATGGGTAAGTTGCTAGTGTTGTATCTCGCTTCCACGCAGATGGACACACGCGAAGTGAGGAGCACACACCCTTTCGCCATGTATGCATTTGGTGTCGGAGGACGAATCGGTCTGGGTGTTTACACTCACTAAGTAGTCTGTTTATATAACTATGATGAGGTGTTTTATTTTTTTTTCCTCTTTCTCTCTCCATTTGACCGACTCTGTTGGACATAGAATTGGGGACACACTGCACAACGTGGGATAACTCCCAGTAACGAATAACATCGAAAGGACAACCGTCTAACACCACGGTAGAGGAAAAAAAAAAAAAAAAAAGCAGCAAGGAGAAAAGAGCATGGAGCAAGTGCAAAGTTGCTACAGTGGGACATATACATGCGTAAATGTACACCTCTGCGTGCATGTAACGCAGGGATTACAGAAAAAAAAAAAAAAAAAAAGGACGGCACGTCAGCGTTAAAATAAGAGGGGAACCCTTCACGGGGGAAAGTACCCATTTGGCGGGTGCCCCATGGGAAAGCGTATTTGACTCTCCTCTTCAACCGCTACTCCGGGGAAGTGACCCAGAGGACATTATTCTACCCCCCGCGAGGAGCCTGAAAATGGTGAGCGTCATTCCCCGGCTTCAGGAACATGATGTTGGTCGCGTGTGGAGTGGTGTAGTTAAACAGATTATAGGGCTTCACAACAGCGGCTGGACGGGTGCCTCGGTTGCTTCCGCGATTGCTGCCGCGATTGCTGCTGCATTTGTTGGGACATTTACCCCCGTGATGGCTCCCCCCATTCTTATCTGCCCCTGTGCCGAGTTGCCCCCCAGCATGGGTTCTGCGCAAGTACCGCTCCACAGCCAAAGATATGGAGTGTCTATACAGATTGTACTCCTCTGAGGACACGAACAGATTGTAATCAATCAGATGTAGAAACGTACCCTCCAGTTTGTTTATCTCTTCAGTGGAGACCCCTCCGACCTTGGCATAAAACGCATTGGAGTAGTATAAGTCATCGAAAAATTTCGCAGCAATCATGGTAGCCGTTATGAGCAATCTATGGATGCAGAGAAGAGACAAAGTGATGTCCGTATTTGTCTTGACAATTCGGTCCAGGTATATGATTAGGAGGACAAAGCATTCATTGCTGCACCCGGTGTATTTTCCAATCCGCTCCATATAACTCTTAATCGATATGTCTGGCACTTTGGATGCATGGAAGCTCGTGATTTTTCCGTTCCCGTTGTTTATCTTTATCATGTTTTCTAAAACGATAGGAAGGTAGGAAAGGTACCTTTTGTCTGTCCTTGGCACATCTGATTCTGTGTCATAGTCCTCCATCTGGTGCATCCGTATGATTCATGCTTTTTTGACTACACACTAATCTGTTTGGGCATCCTCGTGGGGGAGGAAGCCCTCATATGGGGAGACCAAACAGTTATCGAGAGGAAAGAGGAGGGGTGACAATGAGCACAAAGGGGAGTTGTCACCACTTCGTCCCTCATGTCTTCACGACGATGCGCTTGCTAAATGCCGTGGTCACATCGTCTAATCGATTGGCCGATCGAGCGATTCAGCGACTGGCCGCTCCACCGATTAACCGCCTTGCCGCTTCACCGCTTCTCCACTTAACTGCGGACAGAAAGGCTAATCTACAGACGCCCAGTTTTGCCAAATCGAATGCTCACTCGGAAGAGCTTACCGCAGTCGCGCATGCACCGGGAAATTAAAAAAAAAAAAAAAGAAGAAGCAGAAGAAGAGGAAGAAGAAGAGGAAGAAGAAGAGGAAGAAGAAGAGGAAAAAAATAAAAAAAGAACAAAAGAATGAAAAAAGAGAAACAAAAACGCACGCATACACGTGTGCGCACGGGGAAACTAACTACCCGCGAGGCCAACTTCACCGTTCCGCGCCTCAAAAAAAAAAAAAAAAAGAAAACAGCTTTATTTGCTACGCGGAATTACGAGGAATGACCGCCTCACGGGGGGAACCGCAAATGGTATCCAAATGTCCGACTTGCGCGGAGCCTCACGATGGGGAAAAAACGCAGCGGTGTACGCATGTGTCGTAAAAAAAGGGGGGCGTGGCCCTTCATGTGAAGATGCGGCTCCATCCGTCTGTGCCCACGAGTTCGACCTGGTTAGCGACGCCACGGTAAGGTACCCCTCTACAGGAAAAAAAAAAAAAAAAAAAAAAAGAAACCCTTCACAACGTTGTGATATTGTTTTATGCGAAATGGTTGAGTGTACACAAAGGTGATACACACACGTAGTTCTCATGCGTCGGAGCATAGTTCCACCTATCCTTCCATCAAAAGCAGAGCTCATGTCGTAACTATGCCCCCTCCCCACTTCCCAACGTTGGTACTTCTCCACCCCGTGCTACCCCTTAAACATCACTTGGGGCTTCTTTGCGGAGTGCACGACCGAGCCAGGCTTCACCTTCGAGGCGGGATTGTTTGCCAGCTCCATGGGGACGATATTGTTGGAAGATATGAGGAACTGCTTCAGATCGTAAAATAAGTGTGAATCCTGCTCCGTGATAAACGAGATCGCCATTCCCTTCATTCCGGCTCTCCCAGTACGTCCAATCCTGTGTGTATACGATTCGATGTCTTTAGGCATGTCGAAGTTAATGACAAGTTTGACTCCCTGCACATCGATACCTCTTCCAGCAACATCGGTTGCTACTAAAATGTCGAAATCTCCATTTTTAAAATTGGTCAGCGTTTGTTCTCTCAGGTCTTGTGCCTTTCCACCATGCAGAGAGATTGCCCTGAATTTCATTTTACTAATCGATTTAGCAATGATGTCTGCTACTTTCTTCTGATTCACAAAAACGATTATGGGGGGCTCATACACTTCTAGGATCTCTTGCAGTTTCTGTTTCTTCTTCCCTTCTGTAATGAATTCTAATTTTTGTTCTATGGATCTTTTTCCAGCCCCGGGGTCTCCAATGGATATGTATGCTGGGGCTCGGAGATACTTCCTTGACAATCTCTCCACTGCTGGAGGCATGGTCGCAGAAAACATCTGCGTTAATCGGTAGAGACGATGTCCAGCCTTTGCCATCATCTCTTCCTGCAGAGCTAGAGCATCATCTTCTGATTTCAAATTGGACGTTGGTATTTTGTCCAGAATGAAATGAACGGAGTCTTCGAACCCCATGTCCATCATCCGATCTGCTTCATCCAGGATTACATAGTTACATTGATTTAAGACAGTGTATGCTTTATCTAAGCAGTCTTTTATTCTTCCCGGGGTTCCTATAATAATTTCTACCCCTTTTCTCAGCTCAAACGCTTGTGCCTCGGCATTTCTTCCTCCCACCACTGCTACCGCTCTACAGGAGCAGTAGGATGCAAACTTATTCGTTTCGTCGTAAATCTGGATGGCTAATTCTCTTGACGGAGCGATAATAAGAGCATAGGGCCCATCTTGAGATGTTTCATATGTCAACGGGGGGAGGTGTTTCACGTAAGAAAGCATGGGTAAGACAAATGCGGCTGTTTTACCAGAACCCGTCTCTGCGATCCCGATTAGATCCCTCATTTCGAGGGCTATCGGTATAGCTTGCATCTGGATTGGAGTAGGCTTCTCATACTTTGCCTTCTTAATAGCTTTTAACAAATCGCTAGAAAGGTTGGACTCTTCCCATCGTCTGATGGGTGCTGGCACGATACCTCCTTTAATGTAAATCTCGTTATCCTCTCGAAAAATCCTCCAATCTCTGTCCGTCATTTCTTCTCTCTTCTTCTCACTCCAGTGTTTGTTCTGAACATCCTGGATGATGTTTGTCACTTTCGGTTCGTAGATGAATTCTCCCGTTTTGCTTCTACTCAGGGAGTGATTATTTGGGTTCGTTAGATGCTCCATTGGGTTCGGCGTGTTCGCCAGGGCTGACATGCCTAAATGGTTAGATGTACCGTTGGTCCAGCGGTCAGACGCACCATTCGTACAGCGGTCAGAAGTACCATTCGTCCAGCCGCTTGACGCTGCATTATCGCTGTTGGTACCCGCCTTTGTGCCGCTCCCCCTATGGTGGAGGTCCTTCTTGAGCGAATTCTCCTCAGTCGCTCCTTTCTTCACACTAAAGTTAATCCTATTCTGCACTAACTTATCGTAGAAGTTATTTTTCTTTCTCTGCTCCCGGACGTCTATCCCTGCGATGTACCCTCGTCCGAAGAGAAGCTGCGGCTCTAGCCTGTTCTGGTATAATGGGTTGGTGTCATTTCTGGAGGTATCCTCCGATTGATCCCATTCGAAGTTGAATATGTTCCTGAACTTCTCCGAAGGCTTCTGCATCTTCTTCTTCTTCCTTTTGTTTAGTCCTAAGTATTCCTGCTTGATGAGTTCTAATTCCTTTTCCCTTTGGCTTTCCCGTTCGATGGCGCTGATATTAAGCATGTTCAGCTCCGCTAGGGACGATTCCACCTTTGTGTACGCGCTGGGCAGGCCCAAAGGGCTCTGCACGCCGCTTTCAGCGCTTCCCCCGCTTCTGCCACTTCCATCGCTTTCCTCGTCGGTCGAGTCTCCATTTGACAGCTTCCGCCTCCTTCCCTCCTCATTCGCCTCGGAGTTCCTCCTTAGCCTATGAGGTCTGTCATGCTTCGAGTGGGTCTTCCTATCGATCTCCTTCTTCCTCCCCCTAGCGTCTTCGACGTCCTTCCCCTGCAACTTCCCCCTCGGATGGTCTTCCTCCAGCATAGGAATCCTTTCATTTTCTCCTTTGTCAGCCTTCCGCTTCATTTCTTCTCTGTCCCTTTTTGTTAAGAAGATGAGTTTCTCACCCCCACTGCTAACGTTGGCAAAGATCTTGCTGTTCCCACTAACTGCGTTGGTGGGTGTAGTACCGCTTCTGACGTGATTGTCTCGTTGGGATTCTTCCCTTCTCTCCTTCTTCCTAATTTGGTCGTATTCCCCCCCTTCGAGGTTCTCCATTTTTCTTTTATTTTTACCGCTAAATAGGTCTTCATCCGAAGAGGCGTCGGAAGAGCTGGATGAGCTATACAGGTTGATTTTTTTCTTTTTTATCCCGTTGGGAATCAATCTGTACGTGTCTCTCCGGAGAAGGTTACCACTAGGAGGTGTCCCCTCCTCGTGTGGAACTCTGCTGTGTTTTGCTTGTCCGTCTGTATGTTCACTGTCTCCGCCGCTTCCCACTTGTGTGACTAGCTCTTTCTCATTTTTCTCCCCTTCTTGGGACTTCTCCTCTAACCTGTCTTTCTTTTCTTTTCTCTTTTTTGTTTCCCCTTCCTTTTCACTATCATTTTGCAGTAGATCCTTTTCTGTCTTCCCTTCCTGGCTACCCTTTTGGATGTTCTGGAAGGGGTTGCTAACTGAGGCCTTCTCTTGGGTCTTCCCCTGGCATACCAGTTGGTCGTTCTCCTGGGCCTCCCCTTGGCTTACCACTACGTCCTTCTCTTTGGCCTCTTCTTTTTTCTCCTCCCCTTGCGCCTCCTCCGCGGGGGGTTGTTTTTTCCTAAACAGGAACATCTTCGCGGCGTGGAGGCATGAGCGCAGGGGAAAGGGGAAAAAGAAGGAACGCCTCCTTGTCAGTAGGTTAGGTATACAATACTACGTGTATAGCATATAGCGTGCGCGTAGGGGTACACTGACAGGTATTCCCTCACACGTGTATGATCATTCGCGATGGGCCACTTTCCCCCCTTCACTCGCTTCACTTATGTACAGAAAAAAAGAAGGAAGAACAAGAACAAGAAGAAGAAGAGGAAGAAAATAAAAAACAAATCGGCACAGTTGTGAGGAATGCCGCATCCCCATCAGTCCACGCCAAAATCCGCGAACATGTGAAAAAGAAAAACGTTTTGCCAAGCGGTAGGACCATAGGTTACCTCCTCCGGGTTAATTGCAAAGAGAGGTGGAATAAAGGCCCGCGAAATGGAATGCATAGTCTGGGGAAGAATCGTGCGGGAAGAAAAATCTCCCACCGAAAAGGAAGAAGAAAAAAAGAAAAGGGAGAACATATCATCACTATCTTCTCGAGTGACAAGCTTTCCCTCCACAAAAGGAACATACCGTTCACCGCGAAAGGAGTAGTAACCCCCCAAACGATTATCCAGCCGAAACATCCCATTTTGCGACACCCACAAGGGGAACAAATATTCGTGTCCCATTCTTTGCAGTTATTTTTTTTTCCTCTTTTCTCCGGGCGCTTAGCGTGTTAAAAATGCATAGAATGGATTTTTCATGGACGTGGGTGAGGAGTGTTCCTTCCCTTTGACTCTCATTTTGGAAATGATCCCCCTGCAGGTGGAACAGTCCCATATAAATCTTCCTCCTTCCCGAGGGAAGCCCACCATGCGGTGTTGCCTGACGATCACCAAGTTAGACAACACAAAGGTAAAGTGTCAACTCGGAGAAGGTAAAAAAGGTACGTTGGAAAATTCCCTTTCACATTTTTTGGTTTAAAAAAGGGAAAATAAGGCCAAATGGAGGGCGTTCACCAAATGTTTCCCAAAATGTCACATACATCTCTGCACATCATTCATGAGGAGGTAACCCACTAGCTAAATGAAAAATGTGAGCATGGTTGACATTCTCCATGGGGATAAACACCCTCCCTGTGCAAATAAGGATGCAATTTATTTCGGGGGATGTATGCCAGTTGTCTCCTCAAATGATGTGACATACGTTGGGAGGCAGAACCATTTTGTGAAAATGAAAAAAATTGGGAGAGACATATTCCTTGTGTGGACCAGCTGCACGCGAAAGAATGGCAATCTAGCGCGCCAGAAAATGGAAGTCTAGCACCCAAATTTTGTTTGCCATGTCGGCAAAACATTTGTAACAGCTCAGGTGGCATGTCTATGCAGGTGTTGCTGTCCCGTTTTCTTCCCCGCCCATTTGGGTTTGTCTACTTTCTTTAAGCTCCTCGTGAAAAAGCAGTACACGCTCGGACGGAAATTTTGACACATCGCGAAAGCGCGCCATTTGTTGACTTTCCTCACCCGTTCACTCAAAAATGCATTTTAATTTCACTCCCTTTTCCTTTTATATTGACACCGCAAGGCAGTTGTACCTATTTGTGTGGCACATGAGCAGTGTGTTTTTTCCCCCACTCTCCTGTGTCCGCAGAAAAAAGGGGGAAGGTAAAAAGCAAACTTGTTCTTTTTTTTTTCCGAAGAGGAAAACTCTTCCATGCGATGACTTCGCCATAGTGAGACCTTCCGAAATACTGTTCGTCCATATTAATTATTTTACA